CGCCTCAGGCATGAAAGCCAACTGGGTGACTTTGGGCCAATCCCCAGAAGACTCTGAGTTGTAGTCCTGCCCCTTTCCAGCCTCCAGAGAGCCTTGGGGCCCAAGGAAAGGGGAAACAGGCCTCCCCGAGGTTTGCAGAAAGCCTCTGGAACCCAGGCAGGGCGAAAAACCTCCAAGAAGTTGCAGAATGCTGGAAACGGGCCCATTTCCGGTCTACAGAGGGCCTCCAGAGGACCGTTTTCGCCCTCCTGGAGGCTCAAGGAAAGCCAGGGGAGGGCAAAACAACTAGGCCACACCCATCATGGCCACACCCACCCAGCAACCAGGCAGAGAACCAGTTGCTAAATTTTTTGAAGCCCACCCCTCACATCAGGGAATTGCAGGCTTCCGAATCCGACTGTTCCAAGTTGGAAAAAATGTCATGGAACAAAATTACAAGTCCTTTTGACGGCGTTGCCAAGGAAACAATACAAAAAACAGGGTTTCCCAACCTAGATCACCTTAAAGACACGTGGACTCCAATTCCCAGAATTCCCCAGCGAACGGTCACTAAATGGAACAGTGGTCAGTGGAAGATTGATCGGTTGCCTTGGTTCAAAATGACGGACACTCTCAAACATCTGCAACCTCTGAATACATTTCTAGGACAGATTTTCTTTCTAAACCGCCTTTTATTCGGAAACACGAGGACTAGAATCTTAAGTATATTTGCAACTAGAATCTTATTCTAGAAAGTTTATTTTTCAGGATTAGAATATTACGTTTATTCTTGAGGACTAGCATCTTACGTTATTCTTCCAGATAAAATCATGACTTGAATAACAGCGACGGGAAAAAAGAGACTATTCGGAAGAAATAACCCAGCTTTCACAAAATGGCGGCAAATCCATCTTTTTTTTCAATTGAAACAGCGTTTTCCTTTTTTCCAAAATCCAGCCCCCACCTCCAAAAAAGATTTTGGATTGGCTCAGTGATTTATTCTTAGCTCAGGCCAGATTAAAAACTCAATGCAAACTCCTTTTTGCAGAATTTGGCTCTCTGCAACAGGACTGGCTTGCCTCTGTAATTTGGGGGAAATTTTGGAGTGGGAGGGCAGAAAACCAGAGAATGCACAAGTGCTTTTATTGTTCTTTTCTTTTCAATCCAGGTTTTCGTGCTACGTGAGAGGCGCCATCATCTTGTACCCCACTGACGGGACCGGAGAACCGAGGGTGGGGGGACGGACTCCGGAATTAAAATCCAGCAAGGGTACCATTTTGGCAATCCCATCTAAATCATCTACTACCTTCCAGCTAACATCTTTTAAGTCTCCGTGAGGAGAGCTTAATCCAAGGGACTCCAAATGTGGCCATTTTAAGACTCACGGACTTCAACTCCCAGAATTCTCCAGCCAACCATTTTTGGTTTGAAAGACACCAAGATGGCTTCCGGCTTGGGCCAAGAAGGTGGACTTACAAAGATCCCTCTCTATGATTTCCATCCTGAAGGATGAATTATGGATTGAGGCACCCACAACTCTCGTCCCGTGGTTGGAAGACAGAACTTCATGTCCCAGGACTGTAGAGGCTGGTGCCACTTATGGACAAAGCCCTCCATCCTGGCTGGGGAATTCTGGGAGTTGAAGTCCACGAGTCTTAAAACCGCCAACTTTGGAGACCCCCTGGGTCCAAAACCTGGAAGGAAAAAAAAGAAGATATATTGTAATTATTATGTTTTGTAAATACAGTGGGGCCTGTGACCGTGAATGGACCGTCTCTCCGTCTTGGAGAGGAGGAATGTGATGGGTGTCATTAAGTGAGACTGGTGGTGGAACTGCTTGTTGCGCTGTTGCGCCTCTGAAGGCATTTGACGGCGCTGGGAACTTGCAAACCGGAGTAGACGTGGAAGCTGCCACACCACACCTGATCAGGAAGAAAAGAAAAACCAAAAGTTAGCTTGAGGGAAAAAATTTTTGCAACAGGTCCAAAGAATTATAGAAATTCAAGAGATAACAAGCAAAGCAAAGAGGCTGCTGTAAAACCTGAAAAGTAAGGGGTGTGTGTCTGTCTATCTATCTATCTGTCTGTCTGTCTGTCTGTCTGTCTGTCTATCTATTTATCTATCTATCATCTATCTATATCTATCTATCTATCTATCTATCTATCTATCTATCTATCTATCTATCTATCTATCTATCTACCTATCTATCTATCATCTAGCTATCTAGCTATCATCTATCATCTATCTATCTGTCTGTCTGTCTGTCTGTCTGTCTGTCTGTCTATCTATTTATCTATCTATCATCTATCTATCTATATCTATCTATCTATTTATCTATCTATCTATCTATCTATCTATCTATCTATCTATCTATCTATCTATCTATCTACCTACCTATCTATCTATCATCTTTCTATCTATCTATCATCTATCATCTATCTATCTATCTATCTATCTATCTATCTGTCTGTCTGTCTGTCTGTCTATCTATTTATCTATCTATCTGTCTGTCTGTCTGTCTGTCTGTCTATTTATCTATCTATCATCTATCTATATCTATCTACCTATCTACCTACCTATCTATCTATCTATCTATCTATCTATCTATCTATCTATCTATCTATCTATCTATCTACCTATCTATCTATCATCTAGCTATCTTTCTATCATCTATCATCTATCTATCTATCATCTAGCTATCTAGCTATCTATCTATCATCTATCTATCTATCTATCTATCTATCTATCTATCTATCTATCTATCATCTATTATCTATCTATTTATCTATCTATCATCTATCTATCCATCTATCTATCATCTATAAATTAAATTTAACAAATTAAACCAAATTCAATTATTAAATTACATTCAACTAAAATTAAATTTTAAAGCAGCATTATTAAACGACATTATGCTGAATTAAATTATTAAGTGAAACTCATTAAATTAATTAAATTTAATCAATGGAATTATTCAATTTAATCAATTAAATTGAATTGAATTATTAAATTAAATTAGGAAGACTTCTGACGTGCAGGGCTAAAGAGAAGACAGAGATTCAAACACCTGCAAGAAAGTCACATTGAAAAAGATCTAATCCTTACGGATTCCAGAGCCCGACACATTTAAGATTTAAGTTTAATGGATATTGTGGTTGAATGAAAGAAAAACTTCACAATAAGAGCAGTTTGCTAGTGGAAATCCCAATGGGATGTATTTACATACAGGCTGGGCCACAATCCAATGGGGGAACATTTTAATTTGGACCCCTGCACAACAGAGAAGGGTGGACTGGATGCCCTCAAAGGTCCCTCCCATTTCCAAGATTCCATAATTCTACAGCATAATTCATTTCCTTGATCTGATCTATTAATTTTTTTCCTTTAAATGGTTCAATAGATCTCAGCCAATGTCCGCGGTGGCTCAGTGGCTAAGACACTGAGCTTGTCGATCAGAAAGGTCGGCAGTTCGGCGGTTCGAATCCCTAGCGCCACATAATGGAATGAGCTCCCCTTACTTGTCCCAGCTTCTGCCAACCTAGCAGTTCGAAAGCACATTAAAAAATGCAAGTAGAAAAATAGGGACCCCTTTGGTGGGAAGGGAACAGCGTTCCGTGCGCCTTCGGCATTTAGTCATGCGGGCCACATGACCACGGAGACGTCTTCGGACAGCGCCGGCTCTTTAGGCTTTGTAAAAGAGATGAGCACTGCCCCCTAGAACCAGAAACAACTAGCACGTATGTGTGAGGGCAGGGGTGGGATTCAAATTTCTTAACCTGTTCTGTGGCCATGGCCTACTTTGTGGGTGTGGCTTGGTGGTCATGTGACTGGCTGGGCATGGCTTGTATGTAAATATTATAAATATTTATGTAAATATTAATTTTATTTATAAAAAGAAGCAACTTTTACCCAAAAGCAGGCAAAGCAGGCAGGCAGATTAAGTTGCTTGCAGAAACACAGATGCACTCAGAGATCTATCTTTCTGCAATCTGCTACCTGAGTCTGTCACATAAAATTTGCTTGCGAGTAAATTCATAAAATTTGCTAGCAGGCGAACTCACAAAATTAACTCACAACACACCATGTCTGTAAATATTGAATTTTTTATAATAAAAAAGAGCAACTTTTACCCAAAATCAGGCAAAGCAGGCAGGCAGATTGAGTTGCTCACAGAATCACAGATTCATTCAGAGATCTACCATTCTGCCATCTGCTACCTGAGTCTGCACTGAAAAATAGAAGCTTCGGTCCTAAGGAAGGTTCAGCTCTGCTTTTAGATTAGCTAGAAAGCAAGAAATCCAACGATTTCCTAATCTAAATCTCCTGGCACAGCAGAACAGCTGATGGCCGGAGGGGGAAGGACAAATAGCAACTTACCCAAAATTAGGTGAAGGCTAGGTAAGGAGTGAGTGGGCGGGGAGGAGAGGGGAGGGGCAAACCATTGGCGTGATTTGCCAGTTCTCCAAACTGCACAGAATCGTAACAACCGGTTCTATAGAACCGGTCTGACCCGATAGAATCCCACCCCTGGGCAAGGGGAACCTTTCCCTTTTAGATCTCAGCCTCTCCCGTCCTCCCGCAAAAATCCCACCCTAAGGACTAGAAACTTCATTTTCACAGGATTTCAAAGATCTTCAGCAGAGTTTAGAAAACCCGCAAATTTCTTCTCCGCTACCGCTTCCGAACCACTTACCATAAAGGCCGGGAGAACCGGTTGGGTAAATTTGGCCCGAAACGTGTGCAGCAACTGTTTGGTTTTGGCGTTGTAGAAAGAGAGAAATCCTGCAAAGAAAGAAAGAGGAAAAAGAAAGGGGGGGCTCTTGAGGGGTCGAGGGAAAGGAGAGAATGTGGACAAGAAGAAGTAGAAGCGGGAACCAAAAAAAATTATCTATCCCAGTCTGACAGGGAAAATTCAGGAAGCTTCCTCATCCCCCAAAAACCCTCTCAGTGATTATTGCCTTCCTGGCATTTGTAAAGGCAGTCCTCAGTTTATGACTACCGCCGGAACCAGAATTTCCTTCATTTAAACGAGGTGGTCGTTGAGGGAGTCATGCAAGCCAGTAAAAGGTTGTTAAGCGAATCAGGCTTCCCCATCAACTTGGATGGTCGCAAGCGTGAAAAAAAACGGTCCCCTTTTTTCGGCGCCGTTGTGGCTTTGAACGGTCGCTAAATGGAAAAAGTTTGTCCTTTCGGGATTTACCGGCTTCCTCCCCGAGAGGCAGAAAGAAATGGCAGTAAGCATTCTAAGGTAGACTGCTCCTCCCCAGGGAAGCTCTGTTTGGCTAGCCAAAGCTCTACCAAATAGCCACACCCATAGTCCTGAATGGCCACGCCCATCACGGGAACCCATTAGGAAAGGGACACGCCCCCTCCCCTTCCCACCATGACCTCATATTGTCTATCAAGGGGGCAGAGTCAGGATGCTAAATACCTGCTCATTCTCCAAGCCCCTCCCCTTTATACCTGTAGTGTGTGTTGAAACACAGGTAGTCCTCAACTTATGACCAGAATTGAACCCAACCTTTCTGTTGTTAAGCGAGGCCTTTGTCGAGCGAGTTTTGCCCTATTTTGAGAGCTTTCTAACCACCGTTATTAAGTGAATCACTGCGGTTGAATTTTGGTTGTTCAGTGAATCCGGCTTCCCCTTGGATTTTGCTTGTCAGAAGGTCGCAAAAGTGACCCCCGGGACGCTGCGACCATCATAAATGTGAGTCTGCTGTCAAGCCTCCTAATGTAAATCTCGCACAACCATCGGGATGCTGAAAGGATGAACAATGGCCGTAACTCGCTTTTTTTCAATGCGGTCGTAACTTCCAAGTGAACTGTTGTAAGTCGGGGATGACCCGTATATCTTTCATCGTGGCCATTTGGACCCCTCCCACTGCCGGAGAGCCATTTTGTGAGCTTGCCCACAATTCCCGTATCCATTCTTGTCCCCCCGTTTTCTGAAACCGTATTGGGGAAAAGAGAAAGCGATGGGGGGGTCAAATAACCTGGGAGGGGGTCAACCATACCGCCCCTGACCCTTGACTCCATTTCTCAGCCCCGCCACACCCGAGCATCCCCAAATTCAGCCAGCGGCTTTCCTAAAATAAGGGATAAAATAAAATGAAATAACTAAATAAAATTCAGCCGTTAGGATTCCTATAAATAAGGGTGGGATTGGGATCATAGCGCCCTTCAAGGATCCTTCACCCCTCTTCAAAACTTCCAAATCAGTAGGAATTGGTCCAAAAAGTCAAAATGGCCGACACTCCTTCACCTAGAAGGGCCGGCCATTTTGACTTTTTTGACCCCATCTGGGAGACTTCTTTTAAATCCCTCCAGACCAGAATAGACATTTTCCATCCTATCCCCAAGCAGGGGACAAGATGTTATCTTCTGAAATTATTACTATTACTATTATTATTACAACAATAATACTAGTGGTAATAGTAATAATAATTAAATGTTTAAATATTTATTTAAATAAAATTTAAATGTTCAGTTGACTGAGTTTCATGTTTAATGAATAAGAGATAATATGTGTTCTAAAAATGTTATTTTATTGTTGTTATTGTTATTGTTATTACTGACTCTCATGTATAATAATAGTAACAACAACAACATCAATAATAATAATAATAATAATAATAATTCAATTTATTTTCCATTCATTTCATCATAAGAAATTACCTTCGTGGAAATTGCAATAGACGCCTAGAATATCCGGAACTGGGATGTCCAAGATTTTGGCTTTGTTGTTGTGTTTGGCTGTGAAGCTGACCTGTAGCCAGTTGTTCAGATGAAGGCACCAAGAAGAAGAAGTTTTGCCCAGCTGGTCAAATTTGCCCAAAGTCCGATAAGCCACGCCCACCGCAAAGGCCTTGCTGTCTCGATCATAGCGTACCTCCCAGTAGTGGTCACCACTGTCAATCAAGGTGTCACCTGTGACGGGAAGAGTTATTGAGCCGTTGGATTGGCTGATAAATCCGTTTGCTTGCTTTTCATTGGCTAAAATCAATGTTTCTCCAATGTTTCAGGGATTTAAGACGCGTGGACTTAAACGTTGAAATCCACGCGTCTTAAGAAGCGAGCTTGAGAAACTGGCTACAATAAATCCACGCGTCTTAAGAAGCGAGCTTGAGAAACTGGCTACAATAAACCTAAATCTGGTTGTTCTGAGTTTAATTCTCAACCTTGGCGGCTTTAAAATGTGTGGACTTCAACTCCCAGAATGCTCAGCCAGTGTTTGTGGACTTCAACTCCCAGAATCTTCGTTCACAAGACCCCCTGTGGGAAGTCCCCCCCCTTAGAGAATGAAATATTTGGGGGAATATTAAAAGCGGCAGAATATTTTATTTTCCCTAAGGGAGAAGAGGAGAAACATGTTCTTAAAGGCAGAAAGCAACCCAGTCTTCCTGCTTACAGGAAAACAGCCTCAAGCAGAAGCCTGAAGTCTTGAGAGAGGGATATCTTCAGGGGTAGGATTCTACCTGGTCGGACTGGTTGTATAGAACCGGTTGTTATGATTCTGCCCAGTTCGGAGAACCAGCAAGTCGCACCTCTGGCTGGCCCTGCCCCTCCCTTCTCGCCCCGCCCACTCACTCCTTACCTGGCATGCGCGCCATCCAACTTGCCTGCATTACCCTAATTTTTGGTAAGGTGCTATTTTTCCTTTTTCCCCAACCATCAGCTATTCTGCTGTGCCAGGAGATTTAGATTAGCCTGAAAGCAGGAAATGGTTGGATTTCTTGCTTTCTAGCTAACCTAAAAGCAGAGCTGAACCTTCCTTAGGACTGAACCTTCTATTTTTCAGTGCAGACTCAGGCAGCAGATTGCAGAAAGGTAGATCTCTGAACGAATCTGTGATTCTGTGAGCAACTCAATCTGCCTGCCTGCTTTTCCTGGTTTTGGGTAAAAGTTGCTCTTTTTTATAAAAAAAAATATTCAATATTTACATAAATATTTACAATATTTACATACAAGCTGCGCCCACCCAGTCACGTGACCACCAAGCCACGCCCAGTCAGCAAGCCACGCCCATACAGTCATGTGACCACCAAGCCACACTCACAAATTAGGCTGTGCCCACAGAACCAGTTATTAAGAAATTTGAATCTCACCCCCGGATATTTTTATACCCGTTCAAACAGCCAGGCCATTCATGAAACACCTACAGCCACAGCTCCCACAGAAGGGTGGAGCTGATGGGATTAAAAAGTAGAAAAACATCGACTCCTAAAATCTACATTCCCCCACCCAGCTCCAAGGACAGGGCATGACCTCCCAGCCACAATGGGAGCCAGGCAACAAATAATTAGAATTAAGGCCACACTCAATCACAGGTCAAAGTACATTTCACAACCAAACAGGCATCTCAATCACAAAGCCCCACAGAGTTTATAAAAGCTCACCTATCTCAACCCTCATTTTGTCAGCCACCCCAGAAAGATGCTGCTGACCCTTCTAAATAAACAGAAACCTTTCCTGCATCTTCCTCCTTGGATCAGTTGTGGTTTTTTTTTCTTGTAACACCCCCAATTTTACCCAGGATACTGACGAGATCCTTACCTAACACCGTGTAGGATTCGGCGGTGAATCGGTCTCTCCCTCCGCGGCCTGTTGGCATCCTTTTTGGAGACTGGACGCACCTGTGGATGAGAAAATCCAGAGGTGGTGGAAGTCCTGAGACCACGTTCAAGAGAGGGTGACAATGTGTGTGTGTGTGTGTGTGTGTGTCTGGGAATTGTATCCAAGGACGGGATTCCAAAATCCCAGCAACTGGTTCACTGCTAGGTTGCTGGATGGGGGGGGCGGGGGCGTGTCCATGGTGGGCGTGGCCTACCGGAGCGTCCTGTTTCTGGCTTCCGATGGGCTGACAGAGCCCAGAGGAGGCCATTTTTGCGCGGAGGGGTGGGCGGGGCCAGCCGGTTCAGCAAACCAGGTGAAAACTTAACATCCAGTTCAACCGAACTGGTCCGAATCTGTGGAATCCCACCCCTGATTGTATCACTTGGAACACAGCCCCCTTTTGCACGCTGTGACAAAGCCGCGTTGGAGAAACCAAGGCGTCAAATCATAAAGGTGCCATTTTGTATCTCTTGGCCCGAGACTTACAGTCACAACTGAGTCCCAGATTTCTGTTGCTAAAGCGAGACACGCGTGGAATGAGTTTTGTCCCCATTTTACGCCTTTTCCTGCTGCGTTTGTTAAGCGAATCACTGCTATTGTTAAGTGGATCACGCGGTCGTTAAGTGAACCGGGCTTCCCCATTGACTGTGTTTGTCAGAAGGTTGCAAAAGAGGATCACATGACCCTGGGGACACTGCGACCGTCATAAATACGAGTCAGTTGCCAAGCTTCTGAATGTAAATCATGTGACCAGGGGGATGCGCTAATGGTTGTAAGTGTAAAAAAACACATTGTCAGTCACTTTTTTCAGTGCTGTGGTAAACTCAAATGGTCGCTAAATGAACTGCTGTAAGTTGAGGACTACCTGCATTCATTTAATAGCAGCATTTATCAGCCTAGCTTGAGAAGGACATAAAACAACCCAGCCAAAGTTCAATTCTTTCTCCGCTCCCACCACAGAGACAGAATCTTGCCAGAGTTAAGCTATACAGGTAGTCCTCGACTTACAACCGTTCGTTTAGTGATCATTCAAACATACAACGGCGCTGAAAAAAGTGACTTAGGACCATTTTTCCACACTTATGGCCATTGTAGCCTCCCCGTGTGATCAAATTTCAAGGCTGACTAAATGAAGAAATAAACCAGCAAAGGTGAGCAAAGGTATTTTACTTACCTGGCTGGAGAATTAACCGGGGAGGCAGTTCGGCCCTTCCCGTCCTTTTCTCGCGCTTTCATGTCTTGCACCTTCCCGCCCATGGCGTCCCATTCCACACTCAGGTCTTCCACCTTGAGATTCAGGTGGCTGGTGCTGCCATCCAGGCGGAACATGAAGGCTGGGAAGAGAAGGAAGATGCTTTCATGTTTACATCTCAGTCCCTCCCTTCCTTCCTTCCTCCCTCCTGTCCCACCCCTCCTCGCCTTTGTCTTTCCCTTCTCTCCCCTCCTGCTCTTAATTTCTCCTCTCATTTCTTTCCTTCTTTACTCCCTTCCGTCTCTCCCCCTCCCTCCCTCTCTTTCTCCCTCTTTCCTTTCCTTTCTCTTTCCTTTCTCTCCACTCCTGCTCTTAATTTCTCCTCTCATTTCCTTCCTTCCTTTTTCCTCCCCTCCCTCCTCCTCCCTCCCTCCCTCCCTACCCCTTTCCTTTCCTTTCCTTTCCTTTCCACCATTTTGACTTTTTTGACCTTCACTCCAGATGCTCCCGAGTTTAACATTTTTGGGCGGGGGGGACCACAATCCTGGATTCCCCATTAAATCCAGACTAGGAAACCACAAGCGTCAAAACTGGAACTTTCCAATCATGGCTAAGTTTTAACTAGGCTGGACAACCACATCGCCACCCGCACACACACACACACACACACACACACACACACTGCCACCTATGCATAAACCACCTATCGGGGTTGCTCACCTCTTGTTTCCAAAGTGACTGACTCCGAAAACTCTCCTGCAACGGCTTTGTTGCAAGCTTTGACCCGAAAATTCATGTACTTCATATCAAATTTAAGCCCTGCAGAGATGGAAGAGGAAAAAGAAAGTTGGCGGGAATTTAATATTTAATATTTATACGTGTTCCCCCCCCCCCCCGCACCGTGCCGGACGTCCCTTTAAAAGGCAGGGTGTCGGCCTGGCCATAGTCCTTTCTTCCTTCTCCCCATTAAATCTCTCTCCTTCTTTCATCAGCAATTCCAAATTTCTGAAATAGGTGGGGCCGCTAAATGCTGGTTGAGGCCTCTTGCCATGGGTTAAGCTTTACTTCTGAAGCTCAGTCCTCAGCTTACAACGACAACATTTCCATCGCTAAGCAGGACGCCCATGAAGTGAACTTGGCCCCATTTTAGGGCATTCCTTGCCATGGTTGTTAAGCGAACCACTGCAGCTGTTAAGTGAATCACGCAGTCACTAAGCAAATCCACCTTCCCCCTCCAACGGATTTTGTTCGTCCTAAGGTCGTAACAGGGGATCACGTGACCAGGGATGGACTTCAACATTTTTAGCAACCCGTTCTCTGCCTGGTTGCTGGGTGGGCATGGCCATGGTGGGCGTGGCCTAGTCAGACTCCTGCACCACTGGGGGGGGGTGTTTTTGCACTCCCCGGACTCCGGAGGCTTTCCTCAACCTTCCAGGAGGGCGAAAACAGCCTCCCCAGACTCCGGAGGCTCCCTGGCGGCCAGAAATAGGCTTGTTTCTGCCCTCCGTGAGCCTCTGGGAGGCTCATTTTCTACCTCCCCGGGTTCCACGCGCCCCCTGTACTTAACTGGGATCCAAAACAGGCCGTGTGGGGATTCCTGGGAGGGAGGGGGCGGGGTGGGGGCGGGCCAGCCAGTTGTCGGAACTACCGGTTCACTGAACCAGATGTAAATTTAACATCCGGTTCACCTAAACCGGTCCAAACCGGCTGAATCATGTGACTCTGGGACATTACAACCGTCATAATTAGGCGTCAGTCACCAAGATTCTGAATTTTGATCACATGACCATGGCACGAAAGCTGGTTATAAGTCACTGTTTTCAGTCCCGTTGTAATTTTGAACAGTCACTAAATGAATGGTTGTTAAGTCAAGGACTACCTGTACAATTTTTTTCCCCCCCAGATCTAATTGAAAGAAAACCTGGGTTTTTTAGGAATCAGTAGACTTTGGATGTAACAGACAAAATCTGAGGTTACCGCTAATAGCAGGAACAATACATTATTTACTGAATCAGTCTGGAAATATATGTGATTTAGGAAAAGGATTATGTAAACAGTGCAAAATGCAGATATATCATATATATATATATGATATATATGCCTTACCAGACAATGTATACTCAGTTTGTTTGATCCCTTCAATAACCATCCAAGGATGGTCTTCCTTGACCCGAGGAGGCCCTTCGAAGTTGGTCTTGCGATATTCCATCACGTAATGGTCAATCTTGCTATCTTCTTCCGGCATTTTCCAAACGAGCGTTACGCAGTTGTCGGCCACCAACGATTCAGCCACGTCTATCTCGGGCGCGCTGGGAACTACGTTTCAAATCAGGGAGATTAAAAAAAAAGGATTCGCAATCGATTCTAGCTTCGGCCTCACCAGGGACTACTAGCCCCTTTTCCTAGGAGATTCAATTGCCTCTTCAAGTTCTACATCAGTCACTCAAGAATAGAAGCAGTGAGGATTTTCAAAAATTACTCACTGTCCCCATGGCTTCAATAAACATGTGCTTGATTGGAAAAAATGATAAAACATCACATAGATTTAAAGCCTGAGATATTTTTACTACAGATTTTACCTGAAAGTTATAGTAAAGAAATAATTTGATTATTAATGTATTAATGTTAGAATTGTGTTTGCACAAAATTGGAAACATGAGAAAATTCTGGTGGAGGAGGAGGTGATTAAGAAAATAATGTGTAGAAATTAGTAAATTAACATTGGCAATTAGAGAACAAGAATAAAAGGAATAATCTAAGATTTGGGATTTATTTTATGGATTTTTCAAAAGTAGAGTAAAAAAATTGAAGGATATTGTAATAATAATGATATACACTGCTCAAAAAAATTAAAGGGAACACTTAAACAACACAATGCAACTCCAAGTCAATCACACTTCTGTGAAATCAAACTGTCCACTTAGGTAGCAACACTGATTGACAATCAATTTCACATGCTGTTGTGCAAATGGAATAGACAACAGGTGGAAAGCATAGGCAGATAGAAAGACATCCCCAATAAAGGAGTGGTTCTGCAGGTGGTGACCACAGACCACTTCTCAGTTCCTATGCTTTCTGGCTGATGGTTTGGTCACTTTTGAATGCTGGCGGTGCTTTCACTCTAGTGGTAGCATGAGACGGAGTCTACAACCCACACAAGTGGCTCAGGTAGTGCAGCTCATCCAGGATGGCACGTCAATGCGAGCTGTGGCAAGAATATTTGCTGTGTCTGTCAGTGTAGTGTCCAGAGCATGGAGGCGCTACCAGGAGATAAGCCAGTACATCAGGAGACATGGAGGAGGCCGTACGAGGGCAACAACCCAGCATCAGGATCGCTACCTCCGCCTTTGTGCAAGGAGGGACAGGAGGAGCACTGCCAGAGCCCTGCAAAATGACCTCCAGAGGGCCACAAATGTGCATGTGGCTGCTCAAACGGTCAGAAACAGACTCCAGGAGGGTGGTATGTGGGCCTGACGTCCACAGGTGGGGGTTGTGTTTACAGCCCGACACCGTGCAGGACATTTTGCATTTGCCAGAGAACACCAAGATTGGCAAATTCACCACAGGGGCCCTGTGCTCTTCACAGATGAAAGCAGGTTCACACTGAGCACATGTGACGAATGTGACAGGGTCTGGAGACGCTGTGGAGAATGTTCTGCTGCCTGCAACATCCTCCAGCGTGACCGTTTTGGCAGTGGATCAGTAATGGTGTGGGGTGGCATTTCTTTAGGGGGCCGCACAGCCCTCCATGTGCTCGCCAGAGGTAGCCTGACTGCCATTAGGTACCGAGATAAGATCCTCAGACCCCTTGTGAGACCATATGCTGGTGCGGTTGGCCCTGGGTTCTTCCTAATGCAAGACAATGCTAGACCTCATGTGGCTGGAGTGTGTCAGCAGTTCCTGCAAGACGAAGGCATTGATGCTATGGACTGGCCCGCCCGTTTCCCAGACCTGAATCCAATTGAGCACATCTGGGACATCATGTCTCGCTCCATCCACCAACGCCACATTGCACCACAGACTGTCCAGGAGTTGGGGGATGCTTTAATCCAGGTGTGGGAGGAGATCCCTCAGGAGACCATCCGCCACCTCATCAGGAGCATGCCCAGGCATTGTAGGGAGGTCATACAGGCACGTGGAGGCAACACACACTACTGAGCCTCATTTTGACTTGTTTTAAGGACATTACATCAAAGTTGGATCAGCCTGTAGTGTTTTTTATCACTTTAATTTTGAGTGTAACTCCAAATCCAGACCTCCATGGGTTGCTAAATTTGATTTCCATTGATAATTTTTGTGTGATTTTGTTGCCAGCACATTCAACTATGTAATGAACGAAGTATTTAAGAAGAATATTTCATTCATTCAGATCTAGGATATCTTATTTTTGTGTTCCCTTTATTTTTTTGAGCAGTGTATTATAACTGATTATTTTTTAATAAGTTTCAGCATGAATATAATTCAGTAAAAGTTGGGATTTGCCTTTAAGAATAGTTTGAAACTGAAATAAAAAATCAAAGGATAATATGATATATAATGTTGACTAGAATACAATATGATTGTAAACTCAATGAGAAATGTATACAAATATTATTCTGTACACAATCTATATATATCCCAGATGACAGACTGTATAACTAAAATATGTTTTTTATTTGTTGTTTTTGTTGTAAAAATAAAATTAAAAACATAAACATGTGCTAATTTACAGATAGTAGTAAAAAATTAGTTTAAAAATTATTAAAGACCATAATGGGAAAATTGCATTTCAAGTTTTTGGGGACTTCAATTCAATTTTAATTAATTCCATTTTAATTTCTGCCAGTTTTTGAAGAAGTTGATTAAGATCTTTAAAGCAATTTTTTCAAATTCGGCTACTTCAAGATGTGTGGACTTCAACTCCCAGAATTCCCAGGCTGGCCAGCATGCTGGCTGGGGAATTATGGGATTGAAGTCCACAAATACTGGTTAAGGGATTTTGGGGATTGAAGTTTAACCACTTTAAAGTTGCCATGTTTAAAAAAACATTGCTTTAAACCTGATACCACAACTAACTTTAAGTATATATTACGGAGCAAATGAGTTGTCTGTTTTCTAATAAATGACTACTTTAATAACTGAGTTTTAGCTTTTTACCTCAGCTAATGTTTTTACTTTCCTGGGTAAGAAAATACGATTCCTGCACATCAACTATGGTCTGCTTTGTCTTCTAATGACAGCTCCAAGATCATTGCCAATCAGATGCAGTTACATAATGCTTCACTTAATGACCGTACTGCTTAAGAACAAAAATTTTGGTTCCAATACTGGTTCTATGTTGAGGACTAGCTGCAAACTAGTTTGGTAGTAACCAGGAGCCGGTGAGTTGTAAACCCGCCTTAGGCCTGAAAACTGGCTGGGTGTCTTTGGACCAATAACCAGGGGACTATGAGTTCTAGTCCCAACTTAAGACATGAAAGCCAACTAGGTGACTTAGAGTCAATCACCAGGAGATAGTGAGTCTTTAGGTCAATTACCAGGAGACAGTGAGTTCTAGTCCCACCTTAGGCACGAAAGTTGGCTAGTAACTTTGGGTCAACTACCAGGAGACAGTGAGTTCTAGTCCCACTTTAGGCATGAAAGCCGACTGGGTGACTTTGGCCCAATCACCAGGAAACGGGGAGTTCTAGTCCCATTTTGGGCATGAAAGTTGGCTGGTAACTTTGAGCCAATCACTAGGAGACGGCGAGTTCTAGTCCTGCCTTAGGCAGGAAAGCCAGCTGGGTCATTGGGCCAGTCCTTTCTCTCTCAGCTCAATCCATCTCACGGGATTGTCATTAGGGGAAAACAGGAGCAGGAAGGAATATTATATACTGTATATTAACTGCTGTGAGTTACCAATAAAGTAGTAAAGGCAGGATTTTTTTTAAAAAAAAAATCTAATAAAAATAAGCTTGGAGAACGCACCTTGGCTGTGAAGCATGGACTTGGTAGTCTTCGGCTGAAAACAAAATCTACCCTACCCTGTAAAAAAAAAAGCACATTTTTTCTAGTTACCTGGCAGGAATTTGAGAGTCTGTAGCATTTGGCGTTCCTGGGCAAAATCCACCATTAAATGGCTCATGTTGTCGGTTACTTTGGCCTTGAGAGAGAGGCGGAAGGCCGGAGCCATCGTCACACTATGGAGGGGAAGGAGAGGCGAGTTAGAAAGGCGCGCCATCAAACACTTCCACCCCCCGCAAACACGTCTTTCACAGCCTAGAGAGAGAGGGATCGGAGAAGGCAACATGCAAAGAACCCCCCCAGCGTCCAGATGCAGCCTTGCAAAACCTGTCGCCAAAACCTGTCCCCAAAGCATGTGCAGAGTTCCGAGGGCCTGCCTGCTTCCGGTGGCAAAAGCCAAGGACTTCTGAGCATGTGAAGAGTGACTTGCTCTACCCAGCAACCGCCCCACCCCACTCAAAGGACATGTAGGAAGATGGGCTGGCCGGCCGGCTGAGACGATGGGAAGTCAAGGGGGCGTTGGGGCATGGGCAGAGTGCACCTCCCCTTGCTTACAAGGAGGTGGGCCAAGGAATCTCTCGAAGGGCCAGCTTCCATTTGGAGTGGAAATCGCCGTTTCTCAACTTTAGCGATTCTTTAAGATGTCCGGACTTCAACTCCCAGAAATCCCCCTGTTGGCTGGGGAATTCTGGGAATTGGAGTCCAGACATTTTTACAGCCATTTTAAAGATATCCTGTATGCCTCCCCCCGTTTTTCCCCACCTCGGAGAAAATAACAAGGCCAAAACCTGGCCAGGTGTGTTCCAAGGGATGGCCTACCTGTCTTTGATCTGTTTAGCAGCCTTCGAAGCAGCGCAAGGAAGATGGAGAAAGAAGGGAGAGAGAAAAGGAAGAAGAAGAAGAAGAAAAGCAAGGAAGATGTCACCAAGACGAATTAAATAAGCATCGCTTATATTTCATCTCAAGAGCATTCTAGACAGGAAGCGTGCTAAGCTGCCATCCATCGCATGCATACAGAAAACCCTTCTCACCACCTTTTGGCTTCCCCTAGCCTTTTTATCCCTCCCCAGAACCCTGCGAGGTAGGCCAACAGTGAACTAAAAATATAATAAACCACCATTATCCAATAATGTGATAGGCTGCGATCCATCCGAATCTGGGCCTTTTATCCCCCCCAAAAAACTCTGTAAGGCAAGCGAGGGCAAATTAAAAATATAATAAAGCACCCCAATATTGTCCAATTAATGTGGATCTCCTGCTTGGGCAGGGGGTTGGACTAGATGACCTACAAGGTCCCTTCCAACTCTGATGATCTGTTAGAGAATCTGTTAGCGATAGGCTGCAATCCATCCAAATCTGGGCCTTGTTATTCCCCCCCACCAAAAAAAACCTCTGTGAGGCAGGCGAGGGCGAATTAAAAATATAATGCAGGTAGTCCTCGATTTGCAAACAGTTCATTTAGTGACCGTCTGAAGTTACGACGACACCCCAAAAAAGTGACTTACGACCGTTTTCCACATTTGCAACTGTTGCAGCATCCTCATCTGATCCAAATTTCGGACGCTTGGCAACCAACTCATATTTATGATGGTCGCAGTGTCCCGGGGAATTCCCTTTTGGGAATTTAACAACGGTGGCGAGAAAGGTCATAAAATGGGGCAAAACTCACTTAACGATGGTCTCCCTTAGCGACAGAAATTTTGGGCTCAAGGGTGGTCATATGTCCAGGACTACTTGCCAACCCCCCGCCCCCCCCCAAATATCAGCCCATGGACATGATAGGCTGGGATCCAACCAAATCTGCCCCCCCTTTTAAAAAAAACCCTCCCAAGAACCCTGCGGGATAGACGAGGGCCGATTAAAATAAATAAATAAATGAGCGCCCCGTCCAAACGTCATCTAATCCACTTGATAGGCTGGGATCCAAATCATTTTGAGTCAATGTGGGGTTGGAGAGCAGCATGGGTGAGATTCAAATTTTTTAATGATCGGTTCTGTGGGCGTGGCTAGGTGGGTGTGGCCAGGTGGGCATGGCCAGGTGACTGGGTGGGCGTGGCTGCTGCTGCTTCTTCTTCTTCTTCTTCTTCTTCTTCTTCTTCTTCTTCTTCTTCTGCCTCCTGGGCCTCAGGGAAGCCGCCTGGGCGAAGCAGTAAGACAGCGAGGGGGATCCCGGAACAGCTGATCATCGGAACAGCCGATCATCGGAACAGCCGATCGTCGGCAGAGGAAAAGTAAAAGAAATACCTGAATACCTGACTGGGCAGGGGAGAACACAGTCAGCGAGGTTGGGCCTGCGCATTAAGGACTGACTGGGTGGAGAGGGGAGGGGTGGGGTGGGCGGAGAGGGGCAGGGCCCGCCAGGGACACGATTTGCCACTTCTCCAAACTGCGCAGAATCATAACAACCGGTTCTATAGAACCGGTCTGAACCAGTAGAATCCAATCCCCTGGAGATCACCCAGCATCCACAGCCTCCGACTTGTGGGGCATCGAGGGAGTTGTAGCTAACTGCGCAGAATCATAACAACCGGTTCTATAGAACTGGTCTGAACTGGTAGAATCCAATCCCCTGGAGATCACCCAGCATCCACAGCCTCCGACTTGTGGGGGATCGAGGGAGTTGTAGCTTGTCCACCAGCACGGCAGTTAAAAAGGATGCACGATTATGAAGGCATCGTGGAATCTCTTAGCGCGGATTTAACCAATGGCTTGGCATCCTTGGCAAAAATTTGTTCTGTAATTAAATGTACACACTCACATACGTGTGCACAAACACGCACACACACACACATGACAGACAGACAGACAGAACTAGGAATTATTTTTACCTGGTAGAAATCATGATTCTCGGCCCCTTGGAGGGTCTGGTTGGCAGTTTCTAAAAGTTCCTCTGAGCTTTCCAAGGCTTTTGTGCATGCCGCCAGCTGGTTCTGGGTGCGAAAGACGAACAGAAAAGAGGATATTAATAAAAAAAAAAATTTGAAAGAGTGAGTGAAGAGAAGTTTGGCTTGCCCCTTTTTTCAATTTTTTGCTCTGAATTCCCATTCATGTTATTTTTTAAAAATAATAATAATCTTGATTTTGATTCAGGGACCAGGTCCAAAGGCGGCGGGTGGTGGTGGTGGGGTAATTGGCTGAGAGACCTGGGTTCAAGTCAACAATCTGGTGTGCCTGCATTTTTGTCTTGAGGAACTCACTGGTGCAAGATAGAGAGGCCTGCCAAACTCAGGTCGGTTTTGAAAGGGAAACAGATGACCAATTAAAATAATTTACGAATAACGAAGAAGGCCTCGCGTCGCAATTAACGCTAGGGCTGCCTCTCGGTTGCAAACAGACAAGTGACCCCTAGGGGAGAACAACACGAAAGAGTCTAGATTAGAATGCTCAAACTTTTTTTGGGGGGGGGGGAAAGCTCTAAGTTGAGCCTCCATGTTCCAGCGCAGTCTACCTTAAGTAGCTCTCCTTGGAGGCCCGACTCACCCTTTCGGACGCCGTTTTTTTTGTTTGTAACCTTTAAGAAAAGTAGACTTCAACTCCCAGAATTCCCCCCTCCCCCTCTGGTCAATATGGATCGACGGATCATCTTCTCGGCTACAGATCCTGAAATCCATACTGCACGGCCTCTCTTTTGCAGCCTCACCTGCAGCTCGTAAGTGCGGCTGGCTCGATCTTGCTTGATCTTCATCAACATGCCTTCCTTGAGCTCATCCAGCAGGAGGTACAGAGATTGGAACTCGGCTTCCAAGTCCTCTTGAACCCGATTCGAATTACTCTGGTGGGAGGAAAAAAAACAAAAACAGAAGATGGAAATATTTGCGCCCTGCTGGGGTTGGAGAGCGGTAGGCTCCCTCCGTTGTGATTTGGGGTGTAAAAGAGTGTGTGTTTGTGGGGGCTTGGGAGAAATTGTTGAGGTGTAAGATTGAATAGCTACCGGCTGCGGTAAGTCTAGTGCAATATAGGCTGATGCAATAAGAATGAATCAGCCTAGCATGGGTGTTTCCCTTTAAGACTGGGGGTGGTTCTATCCCTTTAAGGAGTGTTATATAGAAAGGCAGCCATTACAGGGTGTGTTCTCTCTCCTCGTGTCTGGTATTCGTTGCAGAAGTTCTCTGTGTAGAGTTAAGACGACGAAATATTATTTGCCTACCACGTATATGTCTGTATGTAACTGGTGTAGATAAACCACTGTTCGATGTTTAAGTCTCTGTGTGCCGTGTTTTCCTCCTGGCTCGTCCCATAATGGTGGTCACGCTACAAACGCTCTCAACTTGATGCCCTCCAAATACCCAAATCACGTCACCGCTTTGCTAAATTTCCAAGTGGAATAATTCCCCGAATCTGGAGAACTCAAAATTGACCCTCAAAAAAAAAAAGATTAACAGATAACAGATCATCAGAGTTGGAAGGGACCTTGTAGGTCATCTAGTCCAACCCCAACCCCCTTGCCCAAGCGGGAGACCCTACACCATTTCTGACAAATGGGAGTCCAATCTCTTCTTTCACAGAGATAAATTTTTATGGACTATTTTCCATCAACAAAAATAAAAAAATAACTAGGAGGCAGTGAGTCTTAGGTAGGAAATCTGGTTGGATGACTTTAAGCCAATCTTCAGAAGAGGTTTAGTTCCACCTCAGGGATGAAAGCTTGCTGGATGGGCCAAACACCAAGAGATGGGGAATTATAGTCCTGCTTTAGGCATAAAAAAAGCTGGCTGGATGAATTTAGGCCAAGCACCAGGAGATGGGAAATTCTAGTACTGCCTAAGGCATGAAAGCTGGTTAGGTGACTCTGGGCCAATCACCAGAAGACTGTGACTTCTAATCCTGCTTTAGGGATGAAATCCAGCTTGGTGACTTTGAACCGATCACCAGGAGACGGTGAGTTCTAGTCCCACCTTAGGAATGAAAGCTGACTAGATGAGTTCAGGCCATTCACCCAGGAGATGGGGAGTTATAGTTTCTCCTTAGGTGTGAAAGCTGGCTGGGTGACTTTGGTCCAATCAACAGGAGACAGAGAGTTCTAGCCCCGCTTTAGGGACGAAAGCTTGCTGGGTAGGCCATTCACCAGGAGATGGGGAGTTATAGTCTCTCCTTAGGTGTGAAAGCTAGCTGGGTGACTTTGGTCCAATCACCAGGAGACTGTGAATTCTAGTTCCATTTTAGGCATGCAAGATTGCTGCGTGACTTTGGGCCAATCACTAGGAGACTGTGAGTTCTAGTCCTTCCTTAGGCATGAAAGCCAGCTGGGTGACTTTGGGCCAATCAC